TTTATTTTATTTTCTATTTTTTTATTAAAATTAAAATAAAAACAGTTTTATTAGATTTTGATAACTTTGATAAACTTCTTTAGAGAGGACTCGCCCGTTCGGAAGTTGATCCGATTCTCTAGCAGTTGTTAAAATGGCAGAAATGTTGACATTAAATTTAAAAAGGCAGACTTCCTGTTGGGTTTAGGGTACGGCTCCAAGAGGCTTGTTTGTACATCTGGACATGATACACGTGCCTGTTGATTTTCATAAGTGCCGGTGAAAAGTGACGCCGGGGCTGCTTAAGCCAAAACGACCACATATTTCTATTATATCAGATATATGCGTCACACGCTCTCCCACTCAATCTGCTCGGACCTCGCAGTGTGACATCAACGAACGACGTGATAGCATCATAAATGTTTGAGATGAAGCCCTGAAGGTGAGCAGGACTCTGCAGAATAACATCCTGTTGTTCTGTGGATCGAACACAGTGACCTTCAGACACAGAGCTGCACACAGGCAGACCCTAACGAGACGCATGTTCTCCTAAAACACGTCCTAATTACAGAACGTCGAATGAAGAACATCCAAAGAGAAGACGCTGTTTACACGAGCTGCACTGAATGTTAATATCGTGGGACATCAGTTGGAGGAGAGTGGGGGTCCTGTGAGACCCTCACAGGTTCTATAATGGGACGTTCCTGCAGCGTCTGGAGGATGACTTTTAGTAAACAAATGACCGTCCGCTCATCCATCAGAATGTATTTTTGTTCTTCCTCCCTCTATCAGCTATTGATTAATGGCCGATGTACTCAGAAATTCAATGACCTCACTCCCTCACTGTTATACCTCCTCCTCCCTCCCTTCCTTCCTTCCTTCCACCTCCCATAATGCTGTGGGCTGGTATGACGGATTGACGGCTCTCTGCCCTTCTACATTCCTTCCACCTCCTCCACCTCTACCTCTTCCTCCTCCTCCTCATCCTCCTCCTCTCGCCTGGCGTCGGTCAGTCTCCTGTTATTCTCTGTCGCTCACTCAGACTTCCAGTTATATTTTTATTAAAACGCTCTCTGGGACCTCTGTGTTATTTGAAGAAGACTGAAACTGAGACCAGAAACTCGTTAGGAAACTTTACTGAACTAATAAATCCACTTCTCCATAAGACTCAATACTATCAGACTTGAGCTTCTGGTCTTTAGAAAGAATACATGTTTAAAACACTATTTATATATCATCAATGTTTAAATCTTTGATTATTTAAGTAAGAATTCAGATAATTTGAGACAGATTTTGACTTTTTGAATTAAATGTGTGAGATACTGAGTCATTAAGTCTAGATTTGAACCTGAAAGTGAAATATTACCAACCACATCGCCCCAGGAGTTTCAGCAGGGAGACGAGTGGCGAGTTCGCTACATACCAGAAGCGCTCAAAGCTTTAAAAAACGAAATAAACTCACACTTCACTACCGAACGTTAGCTTACTCCCCTTAAAACACTTCAGCCTCGACAGAAACAAAATCAAACTTTATTAGTCAGCCTCCAACTCTGCTGTCTGACAGAGTGAGAATATATGTCGCTGTCGCTGCAGTCAGAGTCCTGGTTGGAGCCGCCGTGAATCACCTTCTCACTGTCTTTCCTGTCCTCAAACTAGTCGAAGTAATCCCTCAGTTCCCCACAGTTAGACGTCCTGAGCAGCGAGCCGTTCTTCAGAGACAGAACATTAAAAAAAGCTAAATTGAATGACCAAAAGCAACCTTACAGGTAGCCGATGTATTCGTCCCATCAGCAAACACTGTACTCTGTCTCTGTGTTACCTCTGTGATTGTTGTACAAACAGCGTTGATGTTGAACTCCTCCCGCTGCTCTCCCCTCCCCCCTCAGGTGCACGCTTACATCATCAGCTACCTGAAGAAGGAAATGCCGTCTCTGTTTGGGCGGGAGAAGAAGAAGGAGGAGCTGATCATGAGGCTGCCGGAGATCTACACCATCCTGCAGAGAGAGCACCACATCAGCCCCGGAGACTTCCCCAACGTCGCCAAGATGCAGGTACGGACACAAACAGGAAGTGACGTCACAGCACCCCCCCAAGCGCCGCCCCTGTTTGCTCTAATCACAGTTGAGCAGGCCTCGTTCAACTTCCTCCTTTCCTGTACTTAGATATGCTAAATGCTAGGCTAACCTTATATAACTTAAGATGTGACTATATATGTGTCTCTTTCTCCAGTGGTGGAAGAACTATAACTGACTATCAAGTAATAGGTAGTATAAGTATAAGGTACAATTTGCTGCTAATACTAAAAATATTTGAACGTGGTATTTTTACAGAAATGTATTAAAACATAAATACAAATAGTCTGCTTGGAACAATAATGTGTGATGTCTAATCCTTCTGCTTCATTAAAAACAAGAAGAAGTTTTTCTGACTTAGATTTAAAGAGCTGAAAACTTCTTCCAGCTCTGGATCAGACGTCACGTTTGTCCGGCTGAAAACGAGAACAAACTGTGATCTTAAGATGGCAGTAAACACATTTTTTACTCACTCACTCAGGAAACTGAACACACACACACAGTGCAGCTGGCCTGTAGAGATGCTACGCTGCAGGTGTGTGTTCGTTCCCCAGCTACACTTGTATTTATTGGGTTATTGGCGAGAGAGGATGTTTGACATTTTTCAGTTCCCTGCTGAGACGTGAACTCTCAGGACGTACTGACACGTGTTGTGTAGTATCTGGATCCTCCTGCTGTTGTTCTTGTTAAGAGGTCGGAGGTCAGCGGAGTACAGCTGCAGAGAGAGGGGGGGTGGGGGGGTTTCAGCTCTGCTCTGTGTCAGTTTAATGCCACAGCCAGTCAGCTCTGTTCACCTGGAGGAGGAACAACCTGCAGGGCAGTTTTTGTTTCACTGCAGCATTTTATTCACTGACATTTCAGATCAGTTAGCGTTTGTTTCTGGTCTTAGTCTTTGGTTTTTATCGCCATCTGTCAGTGGCCAACAGGAACTGCAACAGTCTCTCTTTCACAATCTGATTTTAATATATTAACCTCAGATTGTAAAACCTGATGAGTTGGTATGTAAACTATGATCACTGTTGCTATCAGATTATTCTCTCTCAGTCAAATATTACAAAACGCTACTATCAGCTCACAATAAACTAAACTAAACTCGCTTTGAGGACGTTCACTTAAATATGTAACGCTGCAGCACAGCTAGCTTCATAATATCCGACTTTAGATGACAGAGTACATTAATATGAAAATATTAATACTCGCTCACTTCCAATGTGCTTTGACTTTTGCTGTTCGCTGATACGTCTCGGCCACCGTATCTTAACCTCTTAAGACCCACCCACCCCTCTAACCCAAAGCTCCGTACTGGTGGGTTCTAACAGATTCAAAATCCCTTTTAAAGTCTGTAATTCAACCTGCTGGAACACAAGAAGCACAATAATAGTTTTTTAGTCAAACTAATGTTTTAGTGTTTGAACAATAATCTGTGAAACGTAGAAATAGTTATTAGTCCGAATGCTGGAAATAACAAAACGTCTGATTTTAACGTTTGTGTCTCGTCCTGCAGGAAATGTTGCAGCACTACGACTTCAGCAAGTTCCCGTCTCTGAAGATGAAGCTGATCGAGTCGGTGGATAAGATGTTGGCCTCAAAGATCGCCGTTCTGATGGCGATGATCCGGGAGGAGGAGTCGAAGGCGCCGCCTGCGATGGTGTCCGGCGGCGCCTTCGAGGGCTCCCAGGACGGTCCCTTCGGTCAGGGCTATGGCGAGGGCATCAGCGCTGGGGCCGACGCCGAGGACTGGATCGTCAGCCGCGAGAAGCACCGCTACGACGAGATCTTCTACATGCTGATGCCCGTCAACGGCAAGATCACCGGCGTCAACGCCAAGAAGGAGATGATGAACTCGCGGCTGCCCAACACCGTGCTGGGGAAGATCTGGAAACTGGCCGACTGTGACCGGGACGGCATGCTGGACGACGAGGAGTTCGCCCTCGCCCAGCACCTCATCAAGATCAAACTGGAGGGCTACGAGCTGCCCACCGAGCTGCCCGACCACCTGGTGCCCCCGTCCCACCGCAAAAACGCCACCGCAGACGCCCTGTACAACCACAGCGAGGACTAGAGCGCTAGCAGGAGCCGAGCTAGCCGCCAAAGACTGGGTCCAAATGTAAAAAAATCAACATTTCTGCTGCTGACGTTCTGACTAACAGGAGAACCAATCAGCAAACTGACAGCTAGAGAAGGTCAAAGGTCAAAGTTTAGGATGTACACACCGAGGAGCTCACCACTGTTTTCCAACCATCTATCGCTAATCACACGTTTAAATAACCGGCCAGCAGACAAACACGACAAAAGTGACTGAACGCTACAGGAAGTCAAAGTATATTACACTTTTATTTTGGTAAGATTTTATATATTGTACAATTCAGCTGCTTTCAAAGCACCAAAGAAGAAGAAATGATAATGTAGCTTCACATTTCACTAAGTCTGCTTTTATCTGGATACTTTTATTTTGAAAGAGGACAGTATTTGAAAGAAATATCTTGATATTTAACCAACTTCCTGCCTTACCTTCCCTTCGTATTACGCCTCTGAACGTCTTTATACTGATTTACTGTAAGTTTCCTTTTTGCTCCTTAATCCAATCTCCAAAATGAATCTGGAAACAGTTTAAGAAAGTTTCACCATTTCCAAAAAGATAAAAGGTTTTATTCAATCTAATGTACCTTTTTTTTAAATTCATTTTTGAATAATTTACTCTTTTAAAATGTCCACAATAATGTCAAACATACATATATTATATATTTTAACGAAAATCATTTTTTAAAATTTAAATATTTTAGTGCATTTTATTTACATTTCCATAAATATTGTTGCTCATATTTCATCATTTTAACATTACAAATGACTTCCTAAGTCCCAAGTTTCCTGTAGTTAGATATGCTACGTGCTAAGCTAATCTATGTTGAAAAGACAACCACATTTTGAAGATGGTTACAATATCCATATATATATATATATATATATATATATGTTTAACTGTTATTGGAGCGCAGAGCAAAAAGGGGCGGGGCTTAGGAAGGGTCGATTTATCAGAATTATCATTTGATTTCTGTCGGTGACGGTTAAAACAACTTTTACTGAAGAAAAAATTATATAAAAATGTAAAATAACCTGATTCAGATCAGAGAAACCAAGTCCATGTTTTAGAGCAGGAAGCCGTTACTTACCGCTTTCTTCACGTGACACACGGGTGCAGAATGAGTCCCAGAACCAGGACATGGGGGGTTACGGGGGTTGTCGGGGGTCAAAGGTCAGAGTCTGTCGTGTTTGAACAGCACACAGTCAGGAGGAGATGACAGTGGAAACGGCCGCTGCAGCTCGCTGTTAACTCGTCCTCCAGGACGGACAGCGTCCTGACTTGTGTTGCCGTCGACAGTTTGTGTCAGTTTCCTCACATTGTAAACAGCAGCCGAGAGGAGGAGAGTCGGTGACCTCTGACCCCTGCTGACTGCACAGTGTCCTCCTTATGGAAACAGCTTTATTTGTTTTATCTATGGAGCTTAAAAAAAAACCCAGCTACTTCCTACACGGTCCGAAGATTGTTAACAACCGAGGCAGAAAAATACTCTATGAGGCCAAAAGTATGTGGACACCTTAAATATTAGAAAAACATGTTTGTTAAACTGCCGCCACTCTTCTGGTTTCAGTATTTCCTGCTGATGTTGCTCCAATTCAGACACCTGAGCATTAATGAGGATCAATACTGATGATTGGTGATAAGATGTGTTGGTGGTCCAGTTCATTAAGAGTTTCCTTCATTGAAACAAGCCAGTAAACACAGACCAGGGGTGTCCACATACTTTTGGCCACATAGTCTGCATGTAAATTTACACCATAATAATCTTTAAAAACGCAAATTGCATCAGTATAAACTAACCCAAAACTAAAAATATCCATATTAAAACTCAACAATACAACAACTGACTTTTCACTAAGCCCCGCCACCATTAGCTTATGTTGCTACGCCTGTAAATCTTACATTATTGATCAGGTTTACAGCGATAACGTTGGCATCAAAATTCATATTAATATTTTAAACAAATAATTTCATAGTCAAACAAAATGAGCTTCTCACTTCTCACAGCCAGCGACAATCATTAGTAGTAATTTAGTTGCTTGCTAAAACATGCTTACATTACCAGCGTAAGCTTAATAAACAGAGCTTTAATCCATTCCTTACACTTTAGCTGTTTTAGCTGTTTTTAAAATATGACAACACTGCAAACTAGAATGTTTTTACGGTTGCTAAGCTGTTATTGGATAATTACTGTAGCTGGACAGGTTTAGCAAAGCTGTAAATTTTCCATTTTCTGTTAAAAAGAGTCAAAAAGAGTCAAAAGTAGCAGCGAATCTTGCTCTGAATGTGCCTTTAAGTACAACAGGAAGTTTATTTTGTGAGCTGCCTATTAGCTGCCAGATGCTATAATATATCTCAAGGTGTATTAAGACTGAATTTGAAGCATATTTTCGCCTTGCGTTGTTCTCTTAAATTCAATAGCTTTTTAGTGTTTTATAATCAAACAGCCAATGTTCAGACTGTACAGACAGTAGCTGTAGCTAGCCAGCAACGAATGCTCCAGCTGTGTGTTTGAGGACGATGTTATGATGAGCACAAATGTATCTTTTTGTTGACTTTATATGAACACACGCTCTAAAATTTGCTCTGCGTTCAGTCTGAACACACCTTGAGACATTTAACGCGGATTTCAAAGCTACACTGTAATTCAATAAGTTTACTTAACTCAAAACAATTGTTTAAACGAAGTACAAAGAACATTTTAAGTAACAAACTCAATTTTATAAGTTAAAAACATTCTTAATTAAGTACTTTAGTACGTATTCTGTTTTCTCAGTACAAATAAAAAGGACTAAATTAAGTCAGTGTCACTTAAAATGACTAAATCTGCTTTATTAAGGATGTTTTTATAACTTACAAAATGTAGTTGGTTTAACTTAAAACGTTCGATAATCAGTTCCAACTGTTTTCTGAGTTCAATGAACTTATCTGTATCTTCACGGTGTACATTTGCATATTTCCCCGTCGGTGCCTCATCATTTCAAAGCCTTTCGGGGTTTAAAAAACAGTTGTTTTTTTTAGGTTGAGTTTGGTGAAAACTTTCCCAGTCGTGCCTTTTGAGTTCAGTGTGTTTTGATGCCCTCTGTTTCTATGACAGGACTGTGATCGTCCTCGAGGATTCAGCAGCCGGGCGGCTTCTGTGCCTTTAACATGCAAAGAAAGACCAAAATCTAAGTTTATTCTAGTTTATTGCGTCTTTGTGCGTTTCATCTGTTAACTCGTTAGTCCTCTTTGATTTAAGGTCCATAAAATACAGGATTTAAGTGAATAAAGATATGAGCTGTGTAATGAGCTGTGTGGTGGTTTCAGGAGCCTGAAGAGCGTGGGAAGTTCAGTGTTTGATGTTTTCTGTGTGCAAATATGTCTCTCAGTCAGTCTGTACATTCAGTGAAATCAAGTCTTCATTTATCTGAATGTAAAAGTGTTTATATTTGATGTATTTTGTATTCTTGCTGTTTGAATGTGTTACTGGTCAACAGTCTGTTACTCATGATGTTTGACTGATGAACCCATGTTCACAGAAGTTGGAGACTAATAAAATTTATTCAATACATATAATCAACATGTTCTGGTGGGTGGAGTTACGTTTTTAGTTTGGGGGGAAAATTTTAATATTTCTACCAAACGGCTACTGGTTACTTTTTATATTAAGATAATAAATATAGCTTACTATCTCATAAAAAGATGTTCTACTGTAAAGTATCCGACAGCAGTTGCACTTTTGACATTTAGAAGTTTTGGAGAAACCTGATTTCACTGTAAAACCTGAAGAGTTTAACTTTTTTTATTAACTCCAGCAATTTAAGCATGAACACAAATATACTTGGATTGAGTACAAGGACAAAGTTAATTGCCCTTAAAGTATAATACGTTCAGAATTAATCAGAATAAAGTCACTTAAATACATCTTCAGACAAATGTTACCACTGAAATTAAACTTACTCAGTTTTCTAAAAACAAATTGTTTTGATTGATTATCCAAAGTTGTAGCTAATCAATTTTGGCGCTTACATTTTGTAATGATATAAAGTCAATTTAAAGAAAATGAGTTAATGGAACAAACTGGAATTAAATCACTAAAACTTAAAATACTGAACAAATGTAAATTCACTTAAAACAACTGAGTTAGGGGTGTCCGGTTAGCTCAGTCGGTAGAGCTGGCGCCCCACATACGCAGCGGGCTGGGTTTGAGTCCGACCTGTGGCCCTTTGCTGCATGTTGTCCCCTCTCTCTCTGCCCCCCCTCCTGTTTCTCCCCAGCTGTATCTATCAAATAAAGGTGCAAAGGCCAAAAAACAACAGTTACTTCAACAGGTCCTTTTTGAGTTGGGTTTAATTAATGTGATTGAGTGGCTCAGATGTTTTGTACGTTCTGTAAATCTTTTTTTAGGATTCACACTGAATCATGTTTGTAACAAAACAAACGTAGAAAAACAGAACCGATTTTCAGCTTTGTGATGATTTGTTTTCCAGTTAATCTGAACGTTATCATCAGGACCTCTGGACGGAGGGAGGAAAAGGTTTTAAAGGGCCAGTTCACACAAATAATTCCCAGTTAAACACCTAAACCCCCCCCCCACTCCGCAGTTGTTGCATAACTTCCTGTCCGCCTGTAGAGCTGCAGTCAGGATGAAGGACATGTTCCATTAATCATAACTCGACAGGAAACACTTCACTCAACCTTTATTGTATCTTGAACCATTTTTCTCTCCAGCTTTTTTAGATTTTTATACGAATACATAATTCGGTTTTGTGAGTTAAACTGGATGTGAGCGTGGTGTGTTCGTGCGTTTTTATCTCCTTTGAAGAAGTTTAAAGATGCGGCAGAGTGAAAGGAGACACACTGATGAGCTTTTCTTTGGCCCGACTGCGTCATAATGCTGCTGTAAGGGATTGATTTAGGAAAAAGGTCCCTGATGGTGCATTTAAGGAAACTCAGAAATCTAAGATTGAAGATTCAGCTTCACATTATCAGCTGTCAGTGTTCAGTTGATGTTTCCACTTTGGTTAGATTTTGTGATTGTGTACTCAGAGATACAGTCGCTTCAAACTGAGCTCAGCTGAAAAATATGTCCACTTTTCCAGTGGACAAAACTCAATAAAATGCTTTACAGCGTGTTCTTCCAGTGGAGAAATTACGATAAAGTGCCCTCTACAGTAGGAGAAATCATGGCAAAGTGCCCTTCCAGTGGAGAAAATGTGAACAAGTGTCCTCCAACACTGATTAAACGGATTCACAATGAATGCAACACAACTTTCTGCACTCTGTTGACCTTTTTACTTTTTGTATTTTTGCACAAGAGCTGATTTTTCCTGCAGCAAGTGAAGTGAAAGTTTAAAGTAGTCAGACATACTGACACGTTAACCTGCTGATTCTGGTTTCTCTTAATGTGTGTGTGAGTGTGTGTGTGAACCTTGAAGCCATCAGATTTACAGCATGAGCAGCTCCACTCACCTGACAGCAGGTGCAGAGGTCAAAGTTCGCACTGACACTCACAGATGCCATCCGATCCCTCGCAGTGTCCGTGGGTTTGTGGATCTCTGAGCATAAATAAAGAGGACGAGAAGAACAATCAGTGCTTCCTCTGTAAGTACCAGCAGCTTCTCTTCTCGTCTTTTGTTCTTTCTACGTGTGTGTAGATAAAACTCGTTCTTCCATGTTTGTAAATCTGCAGGATTTATTATCTGCAGCTAATTTTAGTCCGGTGTGATTATGCATCTCTGTTTCCTGTTGATGTGAGGACGATTACTTAGATTACAGTATCATGAGACAAACACAGTGAAAGTTAAATGTGACAGAAAGTTTTACCAACTGCAGGGTTAAAAATAAAGTCTTTAAAAAGAGCTTAAAATGTTTAAAAAGTCTTTAAAAAAAGGTCTGAAAGAGTCTGAAAGTCACTTTTACACATTGAAAACAACCTGTGAGAATCTAAAAGACGACAGAAGAAGTGATTGTTACTTCAGAAAGAAAAGAAAGAAACTTTATGAAAGTCGTTAATTTCTATTAAAACAGTTGAATTAGAAAATAAGACTTAATAATAGAAACTAATTAATGTGTGAAATAATACAGTAAAAAGATTTCTGTCTTTGGTGGAGCAGAAATATAAAGTGGCATAAAACCTCCAAACACACTCACTCACACACACTCACTCACCACAGCACACACACACGAACCACACACACACAACTACACCACACACACACACAGTTTATGAGTGCTGAGGAATCTTTACAGCCTGAGGATGAACCTGCTGTCAGCATTTTCAACTGTTGACTCTTGAAAGTGATCAGCTGACACATAATCAATACCATATAATAATGTTACTGCTAGCAAATAGGAACATTGCAGATAGTAACTTATCTAAATATGATTGTCGTAATATTTTACAGCGTTCAGTGTACGACTATGATCAGGTGACAGTCAGTCTTCAGCCTTTGAAGGTTCGTATGATTTTGAAATTGATCACTTCTCACCGTCTTTGAAACTTCCAGCCAATCAGGATGGAGGGCGAGGAGGACGGGGCGGGGCGGGTCCGAGAGCTGCAGGAGCAGAGGATGGCGGTCCAGAAGAAGACCTTCACCAAGTGGATGAACAGCGTCTTCTCCAAGAACGGGGTGAGAAAGGAGGACATTAAACTTTATAACAATGTGTTGATCTTCAGATATTTCTGTGCTTCACTAATGAGCCACAGTCGTGTTTCTTCAACCTGGGTTAGCAAATATTGATCAGTTTGATTGTAGTTGAAG